CATCCGTTAAAGCATTATAAAATATACGTTTAATCCGTGATTTTTGCATCCGTTAAAGCATTATAAAATATACGTTTAATCTGTGATTTTTGCATCCGTTAAAGTATTATAAAATATACGTTTTTTCCTTATTTTTTGTATACGTTTTTTCCTACTTTTCCATATTAAGTTTAAGGTTTTTATATATTATACTGATTTTCCATAAAATTTATACATTATAAAATTTAATATTTTTATGGAATTTTTATATCAAATTTTTTATTGGATTTTGGTCTGTATAATTCAGAAAAATAAGCTTAAAGTTAGTTTTCTTCCTTTTCATGTTTATTTCGTATTCTTGGATCAACCATTTTTTCTTTACATTTTTTATAATGACATTTAACTTTATTTCGTATTCTAGTAGAAGTTTCTTTAATGGTATTATTTTTTGACATTTTTTATTAAAAAGATTGGTAAATCGAATAGCATATAAAAAAACGCGTATATTTATATAGAAATATTTATCAAAAGTTTAATTAAAGAATTAATACATATATATTGGCTATTTAGTATGTCATGTGCAAAAGTTTATTTTGACTTCAAGAATAAACTTTTAATAGTTAAACAATAATGGTTTATTATATAAAATGCTTTTTTCATCTATATAAAATAAACTCGCAGTTAAACTTTCCATACGAATTTTAATTCACCACTCTGTTAGAAATAAATCAAGACACCATCATCATTAAGAGTATAGTCGAGATAGAAGCCGTTTTAATAGTAGAGGTCAGAAATACTAAAGAGGCTGAGAAAGAAGTATACACTGGTCAACGTCTATTCATAAAAGACACCAATCATAATCTATTCGTAAAAGACATCAAAAAAACAAAAAAAATAATAGAGATCGGTAAATATACACTTTTTTTTGTTATACAAGTAATCAATACTTAATATCAACCAATCACAAATAAATAGTTCAGAATCGGAATGGGGCTATTCAGATTGTACTGTACAATGGAGAAAACTTTAGAAAAAGATAAATACACTAGTGAAGGTAATATATCATATATTAATATATACATTGGATAACTATCAGATATTTTTTTTTCAAAAAATAGATTATACTGTTTTAGCTAAACAAATAAGCGAAATGAGAGATTATATAAATGTTTTATTAAAAGGAAAGAATAAAGAAGTGGATTGAATTATTTATCAGATAAAAAGCAGAATTCAACCAAAAAAAGATCATTTTTATATCAGAAATCTGTTAGAATTTGAATATGATAATGATCAGAACTCATCTGATCAAGCTTCAACTTCCAAAAATAAAGTTAAAGAATCCCAAACTTTAACTTCAAAATCTCTTTAAGCAATCAACAGCAAAAAAAGCCAATCATTATTGATTCTAATGATAACTAATCAGATGTTTATATAACTGACGAGAATGACAGAAATAAGTATAATGAAAAACAAGAATTGAAGAAATATTGTCATTCTCATTCTGTAACTCCATCGGATAATTATTCATCAAGAAGTTCATTGACAGACTCTTCTGACTATTCCAATTCAAATCAGTGAACTTCTCGTCAAAATAATACTAAATTTCTTTATGCAGCTGATATGCCAAAAAATCTTTGGGGGTCTTTAAGAGTATGATTCTATTTCATTTATTGATTTATTATTTATATTACTAATGAATATATAAATTATTATATTAGAAAGAATTATTTTGAATAATAGATAGAATGGCACTTGAAAACTGATTGAATTTAAACAAAACATTTGAAATACAAAATGATTTAATTAATAAGATTATTATACCAACCGCTAAAGCATCTATTGACTTTGATACATTTTTTGTCGTGAATGGGATATTATATAAAATGTTACACAAAAGATATAGGTACCAACGTGAATTACATAAGCTAAAAGACCAGCCAGATGATGTTCAAGATAAACAAGCAAGAAGAAAACACAAAAATTCTCGACGTAGTGAAGTTAGTAATCAATTGACATTGACTTTATTTAGAGTTTACTAATAAATTATTTTAAATTTTAATTCTATAGAAAAGGAACCACCGTGCTATTATGATCGACCAACTTATAGATTCAAATGATTCTTTGGTTAACAAATTATCCAATTGAGAGTTGCATTCTTTGAAAGTCGATAACAGATATCATTCTCCTGATAATAGTGAAACAGACACTGAATATCCAACTGGCAAAAGAAAACTCATAACAAAAAACCTCAAGTGGCGGTCATCAACAGTAAGTAAACTTTTTAAAAAAAAAATTTATTTAATATTAATTAGCTTATTATAATGCTGTCTTTTAGACACAAATGTTTCTAAGAGAATATATTGATAAACTATTTGATGAAATCTCGAAAGTTCCAAAAAAAGAAAGCATTTTTATAGTAATCAGTATGCTTCAAAGAAAGCACCATCCAATGCTCCAAGATGGGCATTTACCAGATATAATGGACCAATAAAAGAAGTCATTAAAAAGGCTTGCCGTCAAAGATCAGCAATATCACTTGATCATCAAGAGGAAAAATAGACATTATTGGATTTGTATATATGAAATAATTTGTGACGAGGATGAATATACTGTTTTAATTTGATTTCTGTTATGTATGATTTACGAACAAGTTTGTATTATTAGAGTTTATGATTTACTGCATAAATTAATATTTGCTTATATGCGACTTTAATGGATCATAATATCGGTAACTAGTTGCAATTTTATAAATTAGAAATTATCGTAGGATTTAATTATTGAAAATGTATTGAATGCCGATTTTTTAAATAAATAAATAAATTGATACCAATTAGTTTTAGTGATTGATATAAATAGAACAATTTAGGGTATAATAATAACAAGCCGATTTTTGCTAACATTTCAATTATAATAGTTAAACTAATTATTTACAAACAATAGTTACTTTTCTAATATATGTTTATAAATTTATTTTGTTTCAATTAGAAATAGCTGATATATATAAAGACATTCAAACAGTTAATACCCGATTACTTGATATTTATTCAATATATTGAAATGTGTACGTAACTTATACATACTTTTTTAACAATTAAGCATCAATTGAAGTATAAAATATTGAAAAAATTACCAAAGGCAGATTACAATCTCACATGCCAGTTGATAGGCTAACTAAATCCTATTTGCATCATAAATTTGCATCAATCAGACACCAATCTATAATTCAAAAAATTATCAATTGATATTTGATCAGTGATAAATAAGATGATTTATGAGTACCTGATTGTTACTCGATTTAGTAGCATTTTACCTGTGAAACAACTTAAAATTCAGAATAGAGAACTATATTTTTATCAACAATTACTTCTTACAATACCTTATAGATTAAAAGATGAATTACTTGATAATTTTACATCTTATCAAGAAAAATATTTAAGTTTACATCCAGATTTTCAGAATTCAATTCAAAATTCAATAAATACAATAGTAAGAGAAAATAGATATTCTTACAAAATCAATTTAATACAATTATAACTAACATATTAGAAAACTTTGAAGGCAAAATCACTTCACAAATATCACAAATATCAAAAATTCTTACCAAATAATTAAATAATTTAAAATTAATATCATCAACATTTTTGCCAAATGTAATATTAAACCTATCAGAAGAATAATACATTGTATATAATATAATTATATCTACTCTTAGACTATATCACAATCTAAAAAATATCTATTTTTCTTTATTACAGGATCCAGTAGAATTGGAAAATCATATTTAACAAAATTAATTATTGATTGAATAAAAGTAGAAAGAAAAACTTATCCTTTAATAATATTAACAGAAATAGCTACACAAAATGTTGGAAGATTTACTATTCATTTTACATTTAGTATAGTATAAACAGAATCAGGCTATCAATCATTGGCTTTTTATGATCTTGAATTTAAAAAAAAATTTACAGAAAATTCAAATATTAATTATAGATAAAATATCAATAGTTTCTGCTTCATTATTTAATTTTATTTTTGATTTATTTATTAGAATTCACAATTTTAATATAGTATTTGGAGGTATCTGTGTAATAGTTGCAGGTGATTTGATACAACTTTCACTAGTAAGAGGTGAAGCTGTATTTTATTCATCAGTATGGCAATTATTTCATTTTTTATTATTGTATAAATCCCAAAAACATAATGAAGATAATGAATTTTATAAAATGTTGAAAGAAATTAGATTTGGAAAAATATCAAATGCAACCTAAACAAAACTTATAAAAAAGCTACGAATTATAATAATAATCAATCTTCAGATTCATTATTAACAATAACACATATTGTTAGATATTGTGAAATATTAAGATAAATTAATAATACAATTTGCAACCTACTTCCAATTAATAATAAAAAATATTTATTAGCTAAAGCTATAGATTTATAGAAGGTAAACAAGTATCACCAGAACTTATTCAAACAGAATTTAAAATAAAAACAAATATGCTACTAACAGTTAGACTCCAATAAGATACACGAGTTATATATCTAATAACTCATTAATAAAAGAAAGTATATGCAATAAAATTATCAGTATAATCACTGATATAAATAAACAACAGCCAAGTATATAAATAGCATTTTATGTATATAGTGCAATTATTTAAAGATGGATTACAAGAGAAATATTCTACTTTTATTTAGGAGGTCAATATACATTGTGAACACAGTTTTCATTATAAAACTTATTTTTGTTAACAGTTTATAAAATACAGGGTCTTACCTTATATTCCATTTCAATAAACTTAGCTAATTATTTACATCTAGTCAAGTATATATAACAATCAGCAGATGTTCAAAATAGCAACATATTCAAATAATAAATTTAGATAAAAATTTATTTATAGTAAATCTAAATGTAATTAAAGAATATTCTCGTCTAAAATAAAAGCATTACAACCACTTCCAATTTAATAAAATATCATAATCTATACATATGCAATACATATTCTAATAAATTTAATGAAGATACTTATAAATATTAAATAAAATATATATATTATTTTCAAATATTAAAAATTAAGATCAGCCACTGGCCGATCATGAATAAAAATCTAATTTTATTAATAAAAACATTTATATATAAATATTATGCCATCTGATTGGTTAATCTTTAAGGAGACAAAGCATATAAAGTAAATTTTCAGATTCTGTGATCTGGCCATATCAGTTTATGATTTTTTTTATAATAAAATTAGCATTTGTTTAAAAGAAAGCTGATTTACATAGATTATCTTTATTTGTGATATGAAAAAGAAAACCTTCTGATTAAATTTAAAATTTTATCTAAATATTTAAAAATTTTCTTTACCAGCCTAATCATATAATAATTACAATTAATTTCAAATTCATTTTAATTCCATCAAAATACCTATTATACATGTAAAATAAGTTATAATTTTAAAGTTTTGAAGAATAGAGAAAGTTTACCTATTTAGAGGTTAGAATCAGTTAATTTTAACTAGTTAATTAATCAGTTAAAATGGTTAACATGTTAACTGGTTAAAGATTTTTTTTAATTGGTTAAAATAGATGAATTTAAATCTGACCAAAATTCAATTTCCAACCAGAATTAAGATTTTTATGATTGATCAAAATATTGTTTTAACTCTAATCAAATTTATAATACAAGCCAAAGTTAATTTAACCAGTTATTTAACTGGTTAATAAATATTTTAACCAGTTATTAATTAGTTAAAGAATTTTTAGCCAGTTCTAACCTCTATACCTGTTAAAATATAAAAAATATTTTGGAAATATATCGATTCTATATTTATCATTTGACTGGTGAAAAGCAGATTTTGAAATGAAGTTTAGTCTATCAAAAATATAAGTTAGAATAAAAATTTCACAATATATTTATTTGGAAGCTGTATAAAAATTATATATAATGATAATACAATAAAGCTTTAATCTACCAATAAAATTACACATAATAAATTTTTTATATATAAATTTTTTTTGTTAAAATTTGAAAAAGTGATCTGGCTAAGTAACATAAACTAAAAAATTGAAGTTGTATAGTCTAAAAAGAAAATTTTATCATGCATCTGATTGCTCTATTATGATAAGCTGATAAGTCTATCTGAAATGCTGCATCTATATTCATCTAAAAGAGCAAAATCATACTTAGCCTACAAAATCAAAAAAAGTGATTATTAATATGTATTTTTTTTATTATTTTATAGTTTATATATATATTTTTTTATTCATCACTTCCTTTTGATCTTTTTATTTTTTTTTTTATATTTTTTTTACCTTCATGAACCTTTTATCCTTTTAATTTTTTTTTTAATTTTTTTAATCCCCCTAATATTTTTATTTTCTTTTTTTATTTTGATTTTCAATTTTTTTCTCCCCTTGTGATCCCTTTTATTTTTTGTTATTTTTAATTTTTTTTTAATTATTTTTTTACCCCACTCTCCCTGATATATTTTTTTTTAATTTTTTTAATTTCCCCTCCTGATATATTTTTTTTTATCATTTTTTTACCTTATGATCCCTTTTATTTTTATAATTTTTTTTAATTTTCTCCTCTTCTTGCGATCTATTTTTTTTTATAATTTTTTTTTATCATTTTTTTACCTCTGAAATCTATTTTTTTTATAATTTTTTTTTATTATTATTGCTATAACTTTCCTTAATTTTAGGAAATTCTACTAAAATAGATTTCTTTTTGTTTAGGAATTTTTCTTATTTGATTACTTTATTTATTTATAACTATCTCTCAAAGTTTCATTTTATACTATCAAGTTAGCTTTTAATTATAGAAAATAATAATAATAAAAAATAAAAAGGGAGTCAAAAGATGCAACTCTCACATTTGTTTAAGTCTGAATTATTAGGAATCAGTTCTAATTATTAATAAATAAAAAAATAGGCAAAATAATTAAAAAAGTTACTAAATTTACTGCACTGTCATAGAAAATCAAAGTGGTTAATCTACTAATCTAACCAATAAAATTATAAATCAAAAAGAATAAAATAAATAAATAATTATTAATCAATAATTATGAATTATTTAATTATTATTAATAATTAACTAAATAAAATAACTAACAATAAGAATAGACAATATATAATATTAGAAAAAAAACAAATTTTATTATACATCTGATTGTACTGCCATAATGAATTGACTAATCTAAATCTTTTTTTAAAAAAAAATATTTAAACAACCTTTATTCTTTAAGGTAGATTCCTCTTTTACCTTATCCTTTACCTTTTAGTGTTAATGTTAGTATTAGTGTTAGTATTAATATTAATGCAATGTCAGTGTTAGTATTAGTATTAATATTAGTATTAGTGTTAATATTAATATTATAGCCAGTCATTAGCATTACACAAATCACCTAAAAAGAAGATTTTTTTGAAAAAAAAAGAATTTTTTCATCACTCAAAGGTCAAAAAATCTGATTTATACTAATAATATCACACTAAATTTTATTTAAATAAACATTGATTCTCCTTTATTATAGTATGTTAAAAAAATATATTTAATT